CCCCAAAACCCCAAAACCCCAAAACCCCAAAACCCCTTGAAGGTAAAATAGGCATGGCTTTAGATCTTTGTATTATTTAAAAATGATATCATTTTTCTATTTTTAAATATATATTGGAAGAAGTCTAACATAGACTAGTAATGACTTGTCTTAAATAACTAAAACAGAATTTATAACTATTGCATTCATTCCTCATCATCACTTGCTTTTTCTTTTTTCTTTTTCTTATCCTTTTTATCTTTTTCCTTATGATCATCTTTATCCTTCTTCTCTTTTTTATCCTTTTTTTCTTTCTTTTCGTCACCTGATTCCTTGTCTTTCTTTTTATCTTTCTTTTTCTTATCTTTCTTTTCATCACCTGATTCATCATCATCTTTCTTCTTTTTATCTTTCTTATCCTTTTCCTTCTTTTTTTTCTTTTTATCATCACCCTCATCGTCAGATCCCTTTTCCTTCTTCTTTTTTTTCTTTTTATCATCACCTTCATCGTCAGATCCCTTATCCTTCTTCTTTTTTTTCTTCTTTTTTTCATCTTCACTTTCATCACCTTTCCTATTTAAATCAAGCGAATAATTGTTACTTTTTCTCTTCTTTATCATCTTTATCCTTTTTCTTCTTATCCTTCTTCTTTTTCTCTTTATCACTGCCTTCATCATCATTCTTATCATCTTTCTTTTTCTTGTCCTTCTTTTTTTTATCTTTGGACTTAGACCTATCCTTCTTTTTCTTTTTCTTCTTTTCTTTCTCATCATCACTTGCCTCGTCCCCACTATCTTTATCCTTCTTCTTCTTTTTTGTTGTCGGTTCTTTGATCTTTAATTCCTCACCTTCCTCATCAAGACCTACTGCATACAAGATTCTAAAGTAACGGTTAGAATCAAACTCAACAAAACGTTATATTCTTGAATTTTAATGGATAATCATCCACGATATATTAACAATTTTATAAGAAAAGTCATATTTTGGTTTTAAAAACATCACTTACTTCTTGGCGAAATTCGTCACTGGATTTTTTGGTCTTTATTCCAATGTTTTCTCAAGTTCAGTATATAAGATATTTAGGAAGTCTTCGTACTCTCTCTGTTTTTCCTCTTCTTTCATTTTAATTAATGTTTATTTAATTATTGAACTTTAAATTATTTTAATTCAAATAAGATTAACCTATAATAAAAGTTTTAAGCTTATCACGCTCTTTCTATACCTATATTTATAATAAATCTTTTTATTAAAAAAAAGGAAAATGAAAACTACTTTCCAGCGTAAACTCGCTGTTGAGTTCTTAGTATGCTTTAAAACTTTTATATCTTAACACAATTATTATATAGGATAATTTAGATTTGGTTAAGCTCAAGACTAGTAAAGCCAAAAAGACTTTAAGAAGTATGATATCATTTATGAATGAAAGAGTTAATATCGAACAAAAATACGCCTAATCTTTGTTAAATCTTACAAAGACTGGTAATTTGAAGTGTTTTCTTTTAATTATAATTAGGTGGTGTATCTCTCTCCCATAGTATTATTGAATACAAGAACTACGAGGAATAGTAAGCAATATTTTAAGATGAAAATGTTAAATATCATTACTAGGACAATGAGGGATGCGATTAATTCTTTAATTAACTTTACTATTTAAGAGTCTGAATTGCATAAAGAATTTGCTCTTCAAACAAAGACAAATATTGTAGAGGTCCTGGATGAGACTCGTAAAAACCTCTCTTTGAATAAGAAAAATTGGATGGCTAAATTAGAGCAGTTAAAACGCTAGATAAGAGAGTCAAATGAAGTCTATAAGAGGGAATATCTTAAGTATCAATAGCAAAATTTAGTTGTGGAGGACTGCAAAAGAAAGCGTAATGAGTAGTATTTGAAGTACGGACTAAATATAGACGATTAAATAGCATTTGAAAATATGCCTAAGCCTATTTAACTGGCCGAGTAAAGATACAATGAAGCTTTAGCTAAGTTTAATGACATTAAAAAGAGCACTCAAATTTAGTAAGAGTATACAGAGAGATGCGTCTCCGACTTCAACAAAGGTTCATCTGATATACTTGAGTAAATAGAAAAGCAAGAATATTAAAGACTTGATGTCCTCAAGCAAAATCTATAAAGCTTTTCAGTGCAAATTGTCAGTCTATTGCAATAGCATGAAAGTTTGCATAAACTGATTGATCTTGAATTTTCAAATGTAGATCCCATGAAAGATATTCAGTTATTCATTCAAAAAAATTCTACTTTTGCCAAAAATGAAAGGCTAAAAAATCTATACAAGGAAATGGGACTCTATTAGCAAATAAACGAAGAATAATCTACATAAACCATTGATAAGAATAAGTTGCATGTGGGTGAAGGTTTATTAGTTGAGAAGACCTCAAGAGCCATGGCATAAAGACTAAAGCAAATGGAAGAAGATCGTAAAAGAAAAGCTATTGAAGATGAAAACAGCAAGAAAGAGTAATTAAAGCTTAAGAAATGCTAAAATGTGGTTAACATAATGAAGGATACTAGGGAGTTACTCTATAAAATAGGAAATTAAGCTTTGAAATATCAAAGTATTGATAATTTATACTAAGCAAGACCAGGAGTCACTGGTGAGTTCAAAATTGGCAACAAAAATACAATCGAACAATTATCTTATTTACTACTGTTAGTGTATAAGCCGATTTCAACTAATAATTTGTAACCCAAATTCAACATTACCGAAGAAATAGCAAGCTATTTAGATCCTATTATTAAGAATTTAAGTTCTAACAAGCAATCCGATTTATTCTAAATTCTTCATAGAATTTTTGAACACTATAGATAACTCGAAACTAATTCTGGAGGAAAGTATTTTGAAAATCAAATAAGCTCAAAAGAAAAAGAATTTTACAAATCCTTGATGGGTTTCAGTTGGACTTGGATAAGACTTATAGTCTTGAAACATTCAGCATATAATGTCGAATAATATGAGAAAGAATTATCATCGTTTATAGATTAAGTTGAGCTAGAACATCATTAATCTTCTTAATGTACATTAGAGGCTATTGATTTTACATTTAATGCGATGAAGTATGTTCAAAAAATTTCAAAGAAAGACTCTTTCAATCTCTGTTTCCCTTTAAACTATCTTCTCCATTAAAACATTATTCCCCTATACATGGATGATGGGAAGAATAAGAACTCTAAACTAGGAATATCATTCTAAGATTATTACCTTAATTTATAAGGATTCACTGAAAAAATTCTGGGGGTAAAACAGATGCATCAACTTATGCATATAATGAGACATGTATTTAATGATCATTTAAGATAGAATATAAATTTTTCTGAATTTAACGAAGAACAGAACAAAGCCTTATATTCGTTGAAGTACTTAATTCAAAAACTTACAAAAGAGCATCCATCTTCAGTAAGTCACAGAATTATTTCAGTAGAGCTTATCAAAGACAAACAAATCGAAGAACCTCTTAATTACTTCTCATCGTCAAATAAGGAACCTGCCAAACTTTTGTCTATCATCAATAATTGCTGGCTAATGAGTGACCTTTGTAAAGATCTCTTTAAAATCCTTGAAAATTATGATAATAATTTTGGAGAATGCTTCAACAAGTTGAGACTTATCTTAGATTTTGCAAGTATCTGCTTTAGGTAAAGTTTTGTATTTGTAAGTGATGGTTCATTCCAATAAAGATTAAAAACTGAGGTTATACTAAAAGCTGGAGAGAGAAAAGCTTTGAAAATAATGGATGAAGAAGAATTTTAAGCTCCATTTAGTCTATCTAGAAAGTCCTAAGTGGGAGAATAGCAGTTATCTAAAAGTCACATCATAGATGTTTTAGATAGATTCTCAACTGAATTAAAGAAAGAGGAAGCTATTTATCAAAAGGTATGGGATTCACATTTACAATTCCTAAATGATGGGGATCATTCAAATAAAAATGGTTAGGAAAGTGCTATTTATTTTTTTGGATAGAAAATGGCTTAAATTATAGAAGAAGATCTTGGATTAAAGTTAGAAGACTTAGATTTCGATAAAGATCCCCATTAAATGGTTGGTCAAATCGTTAGTTCGCTGTAAAATTTTGATCTTGTTTCAAAAAGAAAGACATTGAATGTGATAAGACCAAAATTAGAATCTTGGTTGTAAAACAAGCTAGTTAGTATTAGAGAACTTGTTGCAAAGACTATGTCATTTGAAAATTGGCTTCCTGCATCTGAGAATGTGAACTTCAGTGAATCAGTAGTGAATGTTTTCTATGTATTAAATGAAAATCTTGAAAATCTATATGAATTTTTGGGTAAAGAAATATTCCTTAGATGGTCGAAATGTACATAAGTAATGATTAATGATTGTATTTTTGAATATTGTGAAGCATTAATGCAAGGATTAGATAATAGTTCTCAATACAAGCCATCGGATGTACTCCCTCCTTTGAATCTAATGAGCAGAAGTATTTTCAAGTTTATATAATATTTTAGAGGGGAAGAAGGCAGGAACTTTTGCGATTTCTAAAAAGAGTAACCAAGTTGAATACACTCCTGCAATGTTCAATCAATTAGCAGGAATGGGAAATAAAAGTAATCTTAATAATTTGAAATTTATTTACTAGATTGGATAGATTTTGCTGCTTCTAATGATTAAAGCATCTCACTTTAAAAACTATTAGTCAGATTAGCTAACATTGATTATATTCATGAGAGAATCGAAGACCTCAGAGTTAGATTTTTCAGTCTGAGTCATCCTGAAGTAAGTCTTGAAACTGAGACTCAAAACTTTAAAAATGCTGTGGAAATTCTTCATGAGTCAGCAAAAGTAAGAACTTTTCTTTTAGTAATTCATTAGTCAATCGTAATGTATATTGCTTACAAGATGGTCTACATAGATTTTAATGATGTGATATTTTACAATCTATATATCGGCAAAGGGCAAGAAAGTAAGAATAATTATAAGTTTATCAAATATCAGTGATTATTCTGAGGTACTAACTCTAGCATCTAAATTAATACATGAGAACTGTATATCAAAAGACTCCTCCAAGATACTTCAAAGAAACTCTCTAATGTCTCCACTCAACTTTAATTGATTGTAAAATTTCATTTATTAAAACTTTGCAGCTTTACTCAGATATCTTATGCTACTTTCATCACTTGGCAGTCAATTAGGTGTTTTAAGTGATGATTTCTTTAAGAATCCAATTATCCTTTAGCAAGATATTAGAGAAATAATAAATTTCTTCTGTCCTAAGGATAAAGAAGTATCAAATTAATTTAATTTACAATAATATTAGGGCCGTGAAGTTGGATTAAACAGATTAGAATGCGAATAAGCCTGTGAAGTAGTCTATAGATTCCTATAATACATGAGAGAAGATGATTAAATGATGATCGGACTTTTCAAATCAATTGATACTGATGTCCAAAGGAACAAGGAAATGATAAGTAGAGTTCTGTATAGAAGGTAGACAAAAGATGTTGATAAATTCTTTGATGACTACAAAACCCTCTTTGGAAAATGAACATGAAATCGATAAATCATACAAATAACAATTTTGCATTTCAAGCCACTGATTATTTTTTAATTTCTCTACCATGGGGTTTTGGGGTTTTGGGGTTTTGGGG